GTCCTCTTCACTTGCATTCTGTCACGCAACCCCAGTGACACCCCAGCTCTGGCCCAGGCCGCACCCGCTCCACCACCTGCCCCCACCCCGCCCGCACCGTAGGCATCACTGTTCCATTTTATGGGGGAAACCGAGGCTCAACAGCTCGCAGGAGGCCTGGGCGCCCTCAGAGCCCAGCCTGGTATCCCCATGACATCTCCATCTTGCAGAGGTGAGGACTGAGCCTCGGGAAGGCGGGTAACTTCTGTGCACCTGCAGAGTTTAGCCCTCCAGCCCGGGATTCTGGCTGCGGCAGCCCCCACGGTGGCCATCCCCTCCTTCCAGGAAGCGGTGTGCCTGCCACTTCCGGGGGTCTAGGACACAGGCCCCCCCCCCCGCCCCCCGCCTGGGAGCCCTGGCAGGCCTGCAGCAGACCGCCCTCTCAACCCCGTCTGTATCCTTCCTGCTCGTGCGCCGTGCACGGCCCTGCTGTAGCCACCCGCCCTTTCTGGTCCTGCATTTCTTTGTGTGTCAGATGGGCCGAGAACCCCAACCTTAGCAGGCATCGAGGAGAATCACATGTGAAACCCAGAGAAACCCAGGCTCTGAGCGTCCACACCCTCCGGTCCAGGGGAGGCAGAAAGGAGGGGGTGGAGGGGAGGGGCTTGCTTATCGGCCTAACCCAGCTCTGGCCCAAGGTCACATTCCTGACCCAGCGGGGACACTGCCTTCTCCCAAACAGGGGGGCCTTGGAAGGTGGAGGAGGAGGGGGGAGCCAGGCTGGAAGGGTCCTGGGACAGGTGGCCTGGGGGAGCGGAGCAGGCACTGTCCAGAGAAGCCTCTGCCCACCCCTGGGGTCCAAAGACCCAGCTCCTGTCGTGTGGCCTCGAGGGTGTCACAGTCTCCCAGGGCCTCAGTTTTCTCATCTGTAAGATCGGTGAATCGATAATGACAATGAATGAGCCTAAGAGCAGGTAAGACGCTTGGGCAAGAGGAGGACTGAGGAGGGCCCGGGCCCCGCCCAGCCCAGGGTGTGACTGGGCCCCTCGCCCCCCCCACCTCCCCTGCCCACAAGTCCCTTCAAAAACTCACACCCGAAGGCGCAGGGGGGCCGGACACAGGGCTCCGTGTGAAGCGTCCAGTCCCCCAGGCTTCTCGCAAAAGCTCAGTAATGCCACCAGCAGCTCCCAGGCCTGCCACATCCACTGAGGACATGACCTTGGGACAGCACTTTACAGTTGGCTTTTGAGACCTCACAGACCTCACGTAAAGGCCCGAGGAAGGAGGTACTGGTCTTGAGCTCTTGCTTCAAAAGTGGAAACTGAGGCTGAGAGAAGTCATTTGCCCACAGGGTCACGGTGAGGCCAGGACTCAAGGCCAAGCAGTGGCCTCCCACTCGGGTGATGAGGGCTGGCCTTCTGCCCGGCGCCCTGAGGCCAGCCCAGGCCTAGAGCATAAAGCCTCTGCTCCTGGTGTGGGGACAGGGTGGGGACGGAAGCCCTGAGGTCCCGGAGGGAAGGGCCTCTCCACAGCCTGCCTAGTGGCCCCTGAGCAGCCAGGGGCCGGTGACGGCAACAGGTCATCCAGCAACAAACAGCCTAGGTGCCCCCCGAGTGCCGCTGTCATCAAGCACCCACGGTAGCCCAGCCCTGCTTGAGCCCGGGCACAGCCACAAGAGCTGGGACGGCGTCACACCCATTCTACAGACGAGAATCGCAGGACTGGGGACGAGAGAGACACTCGCCTAGGCCACTCAGCGGGGAAGCTGTGCGGAGGTGACGCGAGAGTGGCACCATCGCAGACGACACGAGTTTCCCCCTGATTCTCATGGCTGTGCTCGGGGGCCGGCAATGTCATCATCCCCGTTTTACAGATGGGTACACCGAGGCTCACTCGGGCAGGCCTTGCTTACAGTCCCACTCCATTTCATGCCGTGTCTCCATTAGGTCATTTATCTGACAGAGTTCTGGAAAGCCCACTATGTGGGGACGGGACAGACCCAGTCCCTCCTCCTGGGCAGCAGAGATCTGAGCTGCCCGTGCAAAGGCACCGGGGCCAGAAGCGACTGAAAGAAGCCAGCCCCTCAGCTGACACACAGGCCCTGGTGAGGGGCTGCCTTGGGAGCTGCCACCCCCAGTCCCCACGCAGAGACTCTCCTTCTCATAGGAACACACGAAGCGCAACCCAACGGTAGTTAAGCCCTTACCTATGGGCCGGGTGCCTCCCTCTGTGACGGCTGAGGACACCGAGGCCCACAGGCGGCCAGGAGGTACATGTGGAGGCCAACTCCCTCTGCAGGCACTGCCCCCCACCCCCGACTCCTGTTGAGTGGGGAGTGGTAGACAAGACTCAGTGAGCACAGCTGGTTGTGGCCTCAGTTTCCCCCTCTGTGAAATGGGAGCGGAGGCCCTGGGGCAGCTCCAGGGGTACGATGGCTGGCGGGGGGGGGGGGGGGGGGGAGCCCAGGCCCGGGTCTCTGGGCCTGGCGATACCAATCAGTGGGCACCAGCTGCCTCCAGGAGGAGGCCCGTCGATGGCAGATAGGCCGGCTGGGAGTATTATTCACGAGTCCGTCAAGCCCCAGGAACGTCTGGTTGGCATAGAAACAGGAGATAAGGGGTACAATTAATGGCATCACATTCCCTCCTCCTTTCTTCCCCAACTGACCCATTTAAATCCCTGGCGGGGCTGGTGCCACGCTGGGCTCCCAGTGACCTCCAGGGAGGGGCTGACTGGGCAGGCAGGACTCGGCCAGAGCTCAGGCCCCCGGGCAGGGCTGGCTGAAGTCTCCCCAGGGGCCACCCCTGCGCAGTAGGGTCTCAGGAAGGAAGCCCCGGGAGATGTGGCAAGGGCTAGGCTGGCGAGGGACCCCGGCGTGCCTCCCCTCCCAAAGGCCCATTTCACAGGTGTGGAGACTGAACCCGGACAGGCCTGGGGACAGCAGCAAGAGGAAAGCAGCGTGATGCTCACAGGCAGGCTGGTTTGGAGCTTGGGGCCAGGCTGCCTGCACTCCAACTCTGGCTTCGCCATTGTTTTGGGCGAGAAACTTAAGCAATCTGTGCTCAGTGTCCTCAGATGTAAAGGTGATAAGAACAGGACTTCTTTTAAGGTAACGTGTGGCCAGGCACAGAGTAAGCTGAGTATTAGCCATTGCTAATATGATTATCACCGTCCAATGCAGGAGTGAACTGCTCGTTTTCCCTGAGGCCCAGGACAGCAGGAAAACTGAGCCATCTGGAGCCAGGGGGAACCCAACCTCAGGGGTGATGGCTGGCCCCCAGGGACCACCAGGCCCTTTCAAGTCTGGGTTCGGGGCTGGGGGCCCATGAGCAAAGCCCTCCCGGCCGTCTCAGCCCTTCATCCCCTCGGCTCACCACAGATGGGTCCCCGTGCCCCCAGGGCTCTGAGGAGGGGGCCAAGGCCAGTGGAGGACAGGACTTACGGCCCTGTTGACAACTGGAGGGCAGGCACTGTCACACCTGTCTTTCAGAGAGGGGAAATGGAGGCCGTGGAAGTGAACTGCCCACGGTGGCCGTGCACCAGGACCGGCAGGTGCCCCGCCCCCGCCCACTTTCTTCACTTCGCCGCCGTCCCAGTGGGGTGCGGCCTTGCAGGTGGCCCCTGCGAGCCAGGCAGACTCCCAGGGGCCTCCCGGAGCTGGGAGGACGGTGTGCAATGTTGTGTGTGCGTCATCCTCTCATGCCGACGGAAACTCCAGGGGAGACCACCCCCTCCCCCTACTGGGCCCGAGCCAGGCCCCCCCCCCCGGAACCGGCCCTCAGCAGAAGGCACTGTCGGCCCCACAGGTGGGTGTCGAGCTGCTGGAGAGAGCGGAGGGTGAGTCTTGAAGCACGGAGTGAATTAGTCATCCTGTGGCCACCAATAATTCCTTTAATCAAACTCCAAGCATGTGTGAAAACACCCTCACAGGAGAAAGAGTGGCCGCTGGGGCCGGGGCAGACGGGGCAAGTCCCCAGCTTCCGCCGGAGGCCCCTCACCTGGCTGGCCTGGGTTTCCACTTGGTATCTAGGACCACGGTCCCTGAGGGCCCTCCCACTGCAGTGACATCACCAGTCGGACCTGGGGGCTTGTTCCTGTCTGTATTTTTCAAGAGAGGGGAAACAGGCCTGGCCCCACCCTTCTTATCTCATTCTCACCTCCTCACACAGGCATCCCTTCCCTGGGGTCCTGTGCCTCCGAGCCCTTCGCCCCCCTCCTCCCCCCAACAGCCAGGAATCATCCCATTTTTCAGAGCTGGAAACTGAGGCCAGCCCACTGTCCCTTGGAGGCACCTCTGTGGCTGGCCTATTCCTGACCTCGATGAAGGTACCCCCTTCTGGGAAGTCTCTGACTGTACCTGTTACTTTACCCCCCTCCCCCACCCACCACCCACACCTAAGACAGGGCTGGGACCCAGTGCACACATACAGCAAGTGCTCAATAAACCTGCTGAATCAAAGGGGGCCTGCTCAGAAAGACCGCCAGCGCACTGGCCTGCCCCCACCGCAAAGAGCCTGGGCCATGGAAACCACCTCGGTGTTTTTCAATAAAACTCCAAGCAGGCTACATCTAAAACTTGCCAGGAACGCACAGCAACCCTAACACGGTGGAGAGGAAAACACGCTCCCTCCTGGAGGTGATAAACCCCACCTCTGGCTATCTCACACCATCTGATAGGAATCGGGCGGGGTGCCCCCCCCCCCCCCGGCCCCGGAGCTCCGGGCCAGCGAGAGTCATTTTCCTTTCATTTTGACGGACTGTACCACCCGCAGGGGAGGATCGACTTCTTGGCAATTAAGTATGTTTGGGAAGAAAACTCGCCCAACGACCCGCAGCAGACGCCCTCTCCCCCTGCCCCGGCTCTGGGCCGGGCCGCTCTCCCAGCCGAGACCACCCCCCCCCCCCCTCCTCGCGCCGTGGTTGCCTCGAACCCGGCCGGGCCTGGTGGCCGTAGATAAGGCCTCTTATCGCTCTTGGCGATCGCCATCCGGCCGACCGGCCCTGCGCTTATCGGAGCTCACATCGACCCGGGCGGGAGGAGAGCTCGGCGGGCCGGGGGTCCCGAGCTGGGCTCTGCCCCTCGCTTCCAGCCAGCTCGGCCCCAGCCTATCGTCTCGGCCATCTGGCCGGCCAAGGCCGCGCTCCTGCCTCGCCCTCCCCCCGCTCCCACGTTTGAAGTTAATAACTGGAAGCGCCTATCACCGCCGCCATCGGTTGCGCGCCTTATCAGAGCGGCACATCTATCTCCTCGCGGAACAAAAGGCGCACAGAGGCGCGGGCAGCTGCGCCCCGGCTTGGTGAGGGCGCGGGGGGCGGTGGCGCGCAGCGCCCGGTCCCCTCCCCCTCCACACCCGCGGCCTGGTCTCAGGTGAGGCCAGCGCGGCGGGCGCACAGCTGCGAGGGCCGCACGCAACAGCCGCGGGCAGAGGGCGGGCTGGCGGGCGCCGCCGCTTGGTGACAATCAGCGCTCGCATCTTAACTCGCCAAGATCTGCCAGAGGGAGGAGGCGCCCGGGGTGGGGGCTGCGGGGGGTCTGCAGGGAGGGTGCCCAGTCCGCCTGCTGCGCCCCCACTCCTGCCCGGATCCTGGCCGCGCGGAGGGTGAGCAGCGGACGGGGAGGAGGGGGGGGGGGGCTCGCCTGCGCGCCCGATGCGGTCCCAGTCCCCAAGGCGCACCCTTGGCCGACCCAGCTGGGCCCCGGCGCTCGCCCTGCTCGAGGCCTTATCGGCGCTGTCGATCGGTTCCCAGCCTGAGATCTCCTGCCCGCGCTATCTGTATTTCTCATCACGCTGAAACACATACACACACGCACACACGAGAACAGACCCAACAGAGGCGCACAGGGGAGGAGGGGAAAAAGAAACCAGAGAATCAGCGCAGATCGGGGACCCGTGGGTGGTTTTAATACTTAAGTTGACTTGATAGAAGGCGACTTTCAGAAAGCAGGTCCCACTTGCACACTGGGGGAGTGGGTTACGGGAACCCAGATTTATGCTTGCGTGGCCCCTTTCTAGGACCTGAGGGGTGGACACTTCCCCAGGCGCGCGCACAGGGGATCCAGGTGGCAGTGGTCATGTGGACAGAAGTGGCAGTGCTGGGCAGAGGGCTGGGCCCCCCTCTTCGCTTCCCATCTGGCCTGGGAGACGCGACCCCCGGAGGAAATCTCGTGCCCAGGCCCTGGCAGCGAAGGCGCGAAGTTATTGGCGTGAGGTGGGGAGCGGCGCTTCCTGTGTGCTCACGCTCTCGCTCCTTGCGAGTGGCCTAGAGCGCGCGGCGCTGCTTTTATCACGGGGCTTTGGCGGTAAGGACTTAGACCGCGCCGTGCCCCTGGGGAGCGGACCGCGGGCAGGATGGGCGAGAAACATGGGACGCAAGCAGAGGCGACGGTGACCTGGGGCCTAGTCTCTGGAAGCCCCCCTTTCCTGACTTGGGGTAGTAGGATAGCCCCCTCGAATGAGCGGGGTGCGTGTGTGTGTGTGGGGGGGGGGTTGCCTCCTTGCTGCACGTGCGGCATTGGCCGGGACAGAGAGTAAGGTCGGACCTCCAGGAGGCTGTCCCTGGGCAGGGAAGGGTCGAGTTCGAGACCCTAGCGACAGGGCGCGGGGGTCTGCGCGGCTGGAACCGAGCGCACGGGCTGCGGTGGCTGCACCGGCCCCCCATCCCCAGCCACGCGGCTCTAGGGCCAGCAGAAGAGGTGGTGGGAGCGGGCCGGTCTCCGCCACTTAGCCATGCATTTCCACGCGGCCCGGGTGCCCCCTCTCCCTCCCAGGTCTCCCTGTTTCTCCCTCTAGATACAAAGCCTGGGAGAGTCAACCGCGCGGCGAGATAAGATCACAATTTCAGCCCGTCCCGACAGAGCGATCTTATCAGGATGGGACTTGCAGAATGGAATATTTTAAACTTTATCTGAGCCCAGATCGGGGCCGCCTTATCGCCGCACCATCTCAGGGATGCGGGGGAGGGGCAGGACGCGAGCTGGCCGCGCCCCCAGCCGCCCCGCTCGCGGCCCTCCGGGCGGACGCTCCTCCCGGCCCGACCCCCGGTCCCTGAAACGAGACGCGGGGGCCCGGCCCGCCGGCGATTAGATTACCGCGCGCGGGGCGCACAGCGCGGGGGGCGCGGCGCGGGGTGAAGGTCGCGGGCAGGGCCGGGCCGGGCGTGTGGGGGCGGGCCGGCGGGAGCCG